AGTCCTGAATGGATAGTCATGTATACATTCCGATGGTGGGTGCTTGTTTTTTTTATTATGCGAATTCTTAACATCAAGCGCAACGATAAATGTTCATTATCTTTGAACGAGTTTCAGCCCCCATCCCCCACACCCCCTTTTTTCTCTCTCTCTCATTTCCCAATGGCGCTTACAAGACTTACTTTTTGTTAGAAAAACGCGTATCGACTTACTCTCTCTCTTGAAGTTTTCCAATTCCTCTCGTAAAACGCGACAATGACTCAGAGAGACCGATTATCTCGAACGCGAATGTAGAATTCATTGGAGCGTGGCTAGGCTTGTATTGGCTAGACTCGTTGAAAGCTTTTCTTCAATTCTAGCAACCAACCCCACGTATCCATTTTTTTTCACAACTAGAATCGAAACTCGATCCATTGTTTCGCGATGCACCGACTTTTTCCATTATATATTCCTTTACTTTTCTTTTCTTTCTGTACTCTTCTTCGTTGACTTTTTTCTTCTTCTTCTTCTTCTTCTACTTTATTTTTTAACATTCATTGAATATTTAACACGTATATTTTAAATAAAAATGAAATGTGCGATATGAAAACGCGATGAAAATGTTGATTAATACTAAACCTACATTCCTAACATGATCAAACGTGTACTATGATTTGAAATAATGCATGAAATGTATATTTCATTCATTTCTAAATAAAAGAAAATTCATTAAAATCTCATTTTATATTAATTGTCTTTTTTTAAAACGGTTCATTTGATCCACACGGTTGGAATAAAGTTATACATGAAGTGTCACGGTAGGTTTATTGTTAAAGTTACTGCGAACAGGGACGAATCCAAGAAAGAATAAGGTACGTTTTCTATTTGCAAGAACGCCAAGAGACAAACTTTGTTGTACTGGCGCCGTGTCTATTATTTTCCCGTCGAATTCGAGGTCAGCATAATTTCGCTTTTATCAGAGGCGAGAGAATTGGCTTGTAACATTGTAAATCGTATCGTATCGTTTTTCATCGTACCGATCGATAGACGTTTTTTAAACAAATTGCCAATCTGCTTTAGTATTTTAAACAGATATATATTAGTAGTATATATATATATTAGTAGAACATATATCGTTTGAACGCGTGTCGATTCGCATATACAAAACTGGCGTCTTAATTTAGCCAGCCGATACTAATATGCCTTGGTTTTGGTCCGTAGAGGTTGATTGACGTTGAAATTAACGGAAACATAAATCACTTTGGAGAGCTAGTATCGGAGCTTGCGTATCGAGCTTTACATATCGGCTCCCGTAACCGAAACAGGAATAATTCAATCTTTTAAAACACGTGTGGTGTACAACATACGTTTGACAGATTTGAAATTCTATATTGCATATAAATTGGAAAGGAGACTTTTCGTTTTATTTTAAATATGAATAATTAGAATTGTAAATAAAGTGGACAAAAATTAGAAAACACTTGGGGTGGTAGGATTCTATAGAACACGGTGTTGTTTCTGGTTGATCCCTTTTTGTAAAACATAACGGGTTCGGTTCTGCCCATGTCGCAAGATCGAAAATGAAATCCAAATCTGAGACGTAGATGAAATGTCAAAGGAGCGCATTTATAAATACATTGAAATCTTTGGCTTATTTATAACAGCCTCGAACTCGAACACTGTCGTGAGACAATCGATATTCTTTCTCAAATAGGCGCGCGTGTATAAGTATAAACCATAAGAAATCATTTTTTGAAGGTGTACAATATAATTTTTTGAGTCTTCCAAATTATATGTAAGGCTAATAAATGGATGCAATTTTGTGCGTTTGTTGTGTGCACTATGGGAACTATAACACATGAGAAAGAGAGTAAGGATACACGGTTAATTCAACGTGTTTTGTGCGATAAAAGATATTGATCGGAAAGTTTCCATCCGTAAGGAAAAGGAAGAGGAGGAAGAACGGAAGGAAGGAAGGAAGGAAAAGAAGGGTAGGGGAATAGTTGGTCGTGGTGTACGGAACGCTTGGACATAAAAATCTTTTCCTTCATGGCAATAAGTTTGCTCAGAGTTTGCTCGACGTTCGACTACTCGAGTCGAGAAAGAAAGAGAGAACGACTTTTCGTTTCTTCGAGGTTACCTCGAGGACGATAAAAAAGAACGACACCATTCTGAGGCAAATCAAAGTCGATTTTCAACGTATATGTTTTCTACTCTCCCTCTTGATTTCTATATATATGTATGTGTGTGTATGTATTCTATCCGATCACTGCTCGTTTTACTTCGCACGACTAAGTTTCGTCGATATCGAATATCATTAGCCCGAATATCGCGCAAACACGCTCCAACGAATCTAAGCTTTTGTTTCTCAAACGAATAGCTCGAATAGTACATATGTATACATTTACAAAAAGAAACAGAGAGAATACTTTTCCCCCGTTAGATCTAGCCAAGTGTCACGAAGCTTCAACTCGGTTAAAAATATTATATCATTGCTACGAATACGATTATACTGGCAAGGGAAGAAAAAAAAATGTCGACTGTTTATCTTTTGCGAAACAAACTGTCGGCCAGTAAACCCTTCTATATGCTAGTTACATATCTTTAAAGTTAACTCGAATGATTTAAAAAAAAAAGAAGGTGAGAGATTCAAATTAAATTTTCTTCTATTTTTTATCTGAAAGACTAAGAAAGCAACGTCGTTGTCTGCATCAACGTATCACGTTGGTGATACGTTGAAAGAAGAGGACCTTCGTTAAAGTTCATCGCACGTATTTAAACCGGATAAATCCCGCACATTCCACAACCGCAAATCCTTCGTTCTCTTGGCAAAGCTGTCGGACGAAAGAATACGTTGAAACGAAAGACTTTTCTTAGAGATCGAAAAAGCCTCCTTCCCGATGTGAAACATCGGCTGAACAACTGCCCCTGACTTCTTCTACATATGTGTTATGTTTCCAAATTTTCCTTTTTTTACTCTCTCTCTCTCTCTCTCGGAACCCGTCAGCTTTGCTACGAGCCATCGTATATTTATTTTATCACGATCCACATTCGCGTACTACTCGGGAATAGAGGAGGAAGAAGGAAGGAAAAGAGGGGGGAAAAAAAAGAGAGATTCGTTAAATTTATTCGTAGAACGTGCGCAAGAAAAAAAGCTGGAAAGGAGAATCTGGTGGTGAATCTGTCGGAAGAACGTAGCCAAAGACTATTACTATTACTACGATTACTACTACTACTATTACGGCTTTGGGCCTTGGTATTTTTCTTGTTGGATCGTACTAACTTGGAATTAGGTTGACTACCCATCTTCCGAAAGCCTTGTTTCCGTCAAGCTCTTCGCGTTATCTATTTTATCGCGTTGCACGTGTGCTCGAATCAATAATTTCGGTCGAGGCTCCGTAACGAAGAATGAAATCTTTTTTCTTTTTTTTTCTTTATAGTAGTATAGCACGTATGTATATAGAAATACGACGAGACCGATAAAAAAAAGGAGTATTTGCTTTATATATCGCTAAATGTAATCACCCTATTAACCGTATTAATCTGATCGAAAGGTAAACACACAAATTTTTTGCATTTATATATTTTAGAATGAATATCGTTATTATATGAAAATAATCTGTACGCGTGGATAAATATTTTGCATAAACGATTAGGCCGTTACCTCTGCGTGCGAGGATGAACATTTCACATAAATTTTATATCAACGATGCAATAAATTATCATATTTCTCTTTCACCCCTTCTTCTTCTTCTCCATGTCTAAGGAGAGAAAAATTTCTCTTTATTTATTTTTTTTTATTTTTTTTTCTTCCCGTCTAGAATTTATTCTCAAAAGCATTGCACCGTTTACTGGGTCGCATTTTACACGTCGAGTATAGTAAAATGACGTACCTATGTACGTACGTACGTACGACATAAGTACCAGAAGTCGTGCGTTATCCAGGACGGAAAATACGCGCGCCATTTTAATAACTGCCACTTCGAGAGAGAGACCTATGAATGTATATGTCTCTAACGATGATGGTATCCAAGCTTGTGTGTGTTTCTACCAACAGAATCCTTCGTTATTATAAATCGGCGCCATAGAAAAAAGAGTACATTTGAGATTTTTCTTTCCTTTTCCTCCATCTTTTTCAATTCGAATTTCGCGAGTCGTCCGGTTGATCGACCTCGATGCTAAAATTACTTTAGGACCGTTCGTTATAATCATTAAATAGATACCTATCTGGCAATTGGCTTGGCAGTCGACAGCACAGCTGACTCAAGTTCTTACTCAAATTTATTATTTCCTACATTTTTTTTATCGCAGCCTCGCGAGAGAATCATCGAGAATAAAACAAAGTGGCGTCAAGTAGGAGAGAGCCAGTTTATTTATGATACTAAACCTATCGAGAAAGAGGAAATTGTTTTTTTGTTTTGTTTTTATTTAGGTCCCCTGTCCGAAGGAAAAAAAAGAAGGTCGAGACTCGTTCTATCTAATTGTAAGGGAAAGTTTAAAAAAATAATGTTGCATTAGTTAGGCAGAAAGTTAACATCTTCTCAGAAGTATAGAAAAAAAAAAAGGCATATACGATTACCACGTTGATCTCTCTCGGGCCTACATAGAAGAAGACGCCGAGTTTCTTCGTGCACGTAGAAAACGATTCCAAGAAAAGTTGGCAAATGTTCTCCGAGGACCATCGGTTCGATGAATCATCGGGATTAGAATTTCGGATAGTAACGTCCGATACTACACTACGAATTTATTCTACCAAACGAAAGTATATCTCAACGATAAGAAAAAATTTAGTATAGTCTCGACGAATGCAGAAATAAAAAAAAAACAAGGGAGAGAGAAAAAACGTTTCCTATATCTGTTTCATTCTTTCTCTTTCCCTGTTCGCAATCGGAGTCCGTTGACTCTCGGAGGTGTGTGCACGACGTGCGTTTTTTTTCATACAAAAAAATAACCACATCGTGGTGAGGTAGTTGAGACTGTAAGATTTTGGTACACAGTGCAAAAGGTGCTCACAAACTTACCGCATATCTTTGGAAGAGAGAAAAACTTTGGCGATTAGAAACGATCTTGTGCGTATCATGTGAACCGGGCGTATCCGCTCCTCATATCCGTCTTAAACGAGACGTCGTTAGCGTTATTATACACTTGTTTTCCCTTCTCTCTCTCTCTCTCTCTCTCTCTCTCTCTCTCTCTCTCACTCTTTCTCTCTAAAGGAAAAAGAGCGTTGCCGGACGAAGAAGAAACTAAGGAATAAAAACGTGCAAGGATATCTCGTCTTAACCGGAATTCTCGCACCCTTTTTCTTGAAGATTTTTCGCTAAAGTTTACACGGCCGCACTCTGAAAAATTTCTTCTTCTTACGTACGCAGCACCATCGTCGTCACCAACACCACCATCATCATCATCATAATCATCATAATCATCATCATCATCCTCCACATGATCATCATCATCACAAACGACACCCCAAAGATAACGTAGCACTAGACCAGCAGTAGCGAGCAACGTCACGATCGTCGCTGCTACTCTCTCTCTCTCTCTCTCTCTCTTGTGTAAACTTATAAATAGATATCTGGGTACGTTCGATTATATTTATATATATGTACCGACGTATACGCGAGCGGTACGCATATGTCTATACATATATATATATATACACGCGCGTGAAAAGAGAAACGAGAGAAGAGGTGGCGACCAAGATAACTTGGTAGGGGGTTGGTTAAACGTGTTCGCGGCACTACGGGGTAGTTTATCGCACCGTGCTTTTCTTTCGGTCGTTCCGGTCGGTTGGTTGATTGGTTGATTCGTCGGATCCCAAATCGGTTGGCGCGCTAGCTCGATCGTTTCTGGGAAGAGGAACGAGCGCGTTAATGGTGCGCGCAGATATACCTCTCCCTTTTATTTCCCTTGGAGCGCGCCTCCTTCCGGATCTGCCGTGGACAAACACATGAGGACGGATATCATACAATTTACTACTTTGTTATTCTTTTTATTCCCCCAAAAGCACACTTTTCCTATCTCTATCTCCTATATTTCTCCCACGCACACACGTCAACGTCCCTTTACTCGTCTCTCTCTCTCTCTCTCTCTCTCTCCACGGCCAGTGCACCCTACGAATATGTGAGTTTCTCTCTCTCTCTCTCTGTCTCTCTTTTGGTGACGGGTGGAGAATGGAAAATACCACGAAATGAAAAGAGAGTTAAAAAGATTAGGGGAGATTTTCTTTTTCCTTTTCTTCTTTCCCTTCCTATCTCCTTCTCTTTTTCTCTCTTTCTCTCTCTCTCTCTCCTCTCTCTTTCGTTTTACGAAAGGAAATTGTTGTAAGATCCACACACTACTAATCCGAAAAAAAGACGTAGACGACGATCACGATCACGATTACGACGACAACGACGAAGATGACGAAGAAGACGACGACGACGACGACGACGACGACGACGACGACGAAGAAGACGACGGCACACGACACGCTCGAGTCGACGATACGTCAGCGACGCCTGGCGTCGCGACGCCCCACCCCCACCATCGTCGAGTCGACGCACCGTCTTTTACCTCCTTCCCTCCCTTTATCCGGCCAACACCATCCGCGCCTTTCCCTTTTCACGCACGCGCCTGATAAAGAACACAAAACAGGGTGGAGAAGGTAAATGCCTCCTTTTTACCCGATATATCCACCGCAACACGAACGGAGATCCAGCCTGGAGAAAATCGATGAGGGAGGGCGGGGGCACGAGGGGTTGCTTGCTTGGTTGGAACAGAGTACTATTTTTTTATTTTAATATTCTTATATTATTTGTCGTTGTTATTAGTTGAAATATTTATCAAATATAAGCAAAACCCCTTTCGTAGGGATCCTTTACCGTCGACTGGGAGTTTCGACTAATTTTAAAGCTAAAGAAATATCTCTGTCGCATTATTGCAAGCCCGCTCGTAGAACGATCATTAGCGCGCGTGCAAGGACATTGTACCCTGGGGAAATTAAAATAACGTAAGTGGAGGCCGTACGAATGTACTACTACTAGGTGCTGTACGTTTGTATGGTCGCGCATTTAGATAGATATGCGTTGTTCTTCTTCTTTTCATCTCTTTTTTCTTCTTCTTCTTCTTCTTCTTCTTCTTTATTGCGGCCGCGATGTAAATGCTAGTTTTTCGAAATGAAATAACTTTCAAGTTCTTCCTCTAACTATAGATAGAAAAAAGAAGAGACATTTTGTCGACGATCTCTATCACATGTTTTATTCAAATATAATTGTGAAAATGGATTATTATAATTGAAACGAACGAGGAATATCATTTCCTAAGAATGTTTGCCTATCTCTTATTTAGTTTTGTTATTATTCTTCGAGTTTTCTTTCCCTTTCGAAGAAAAGAAAGCAAAAGACTCTAATTATACATCTTGTCCAAATGAAAATACTGTGATCACTGAACCAAAATGGCGGAGGGATGGGATAATGACCCTTCGCCTTACTTGTATAGCATGTTGTATTTTGTACTTGGTCGTTTGATAAGAGCGTTTGCGTCTGTGCATATATTGCATACACCCATTCCTTCGAATACAAGACACGTTTTATGCTTGTATATAGGTCAGACTGATTCTAATACCAAGCAGGTTGCATGTTACACGTGTCGTATTTAACCGCGCGATTCATTAGCGCACGCCTTTATTTAAAATAATCGCCATGTCGTATATCCTTGTCATCCAATAGATTCTAATCTCCTGAACGATGCAAATAGATACTGGAGAAATTGGTGAAAAAATTGAGCCGCTTGACTGAGTGAGCCGGGAGTAGAATCATGGATCTTTTGGAAATCCATTGAGCTATACAAGGCTCATCGTCCAATCTTCCTAGGAATACCTATTTAAGTATTTGAACATGGAGGTAAGCACTCGTCCCACACTCTACCATCCCCTGCAATAATATTCAACCTCGAATATTACATCTAAACTCTATGATGACATTCTCATCAAGGAACGTTGCTGAGCTCTTAAAGGCATCTTTATCTAGTTCCCCAGTCAACTTATTCGCGTCGCTACAGTCGTGAAAATCCTGAACACCTGCTACTGGACATTTAACCCAATCGAAAATTGCCAAGTGACAAGACGATAGCCTTTGTCATATTCACATCCAAAATTGCAGACTATCAAGAACTTTTATTTTTTCTTTAAAGCAACAGATTTCTCTGTTATAGACTTTGCCTCATAGATAGCACCACTACACATTTCATAAAGCGCGATCTCGCGCAAGTTTACGGTACTTACGTAGTAGTAACTGTATACGAGTTTAGTTCTTTTAACCAACCGCTAGTGTCGATATGATCAACTAAACTTTTTTCATAAATTTCAATTCTTTTTTTTTTATTTGTTCCAGACTATCATGCGTGTTACGAAACAAATCTATATCCTGGCTGATTCCCTAATCAGGATTTGTGAAAAAACTGGACTGACTTTGCTGAACCAATGTCTCGAACCACGAATTGTTTTTCGTTCAATAGTCCAATTATCTCACGAATGCCTATTTAAGTAATTGGACATGGAGACGGTTATCCAACAATAACTTTTGTTACATCGAAGCTATTCTATGAACAATGTCCAAATTAAATACTTAAAAGCCATTTTCTTATGGAAATTGGAATAAGAAGCATGAAATTAGAAGAGTTTATTTGAAAATATGAAGAAACCATGAACATTCAGTGAAGCCAGATCGTGAAATCATAAAAAATATACACGTACACAGATTAAATGTGTATGTATTTCTCCGCGGCGCGTGGTGTGGATACAGCGACCCCAGAGACTTTAGTTCGTCTGATCGACACAGGGGCGCAAAATTATCGTACGCGGCAGAAAATTATCGTACGCCCCGGGAAAATTTGAAATCGGACAAATCTCGGACAAAATTTTGAAAAAGTCGGAAAAAGTGTCCAAGTTCCTACTTTTTCAAGTTGATGACTCTTTTTTTTAGGTAGAAAACGTTCACTATTCGTTTAGTCTACTCGGCGGTTCGATAGCTCCACGGGAAGATCTTCAAATCAAGAAAAAAAAATTTCTCCTCTGATCGCGCAGCTAATCTCGGCTTCCCTCGGCTTCTTTCGGTTTCCCGACTCACCGAACGTACATTTCACTGTGAAATGTAGCAGCAGTGCTGTCAGATCGTGGGTAAATCTTACCCTCTCCCTGTGCCACTGGGATTGCACACAATGAAAGTTTTCCATGTCCGTGTGTTTGGGA